GACATAATGCAAAAGGAAAGACAGAGAGGGAGGGAGATCACAAGATTTGTAAATTGCTTTACTGATAAGGTTCTCTCCCCACCCCCCCGCAACTACCTTTTTATTTCGACACTTCTAAATTTAACTGTTGGGAGCCAACTCTTCCTCCCTTCAAGTTGGTTTTATTTATTTATTTCATTCCATTGGTGAATCATAGAATTGTAGAATACTACCTTGAGCTCTTGAGAGGGAAATATAATGTAAATACATTTATCTAGCTAGTTATCAGTTGGTAAATTTAATTTTTTCCACTTAGTTTGATAAAAGGGGATTATTCTGAGGAACGGTCAGTATTCTGATCCAGTTGCTGGAAAAATGTATTGTTAAGTCTTCACTAGGTGTGCTCAACATTGGGATGTGGGATTTGGCACCCAAGCGTGTTGGGGAATTCCAACAAAAACACGGGGGAGGAAATTGACTTTGTTCGCTTATTCATCTATTGCCTGTAATGGAAATCGATCCTACGGCTATGATCAGTATTTGCTGCTGCTGTCCTTTTCAGCCTACAAATGATAAATTGTGTCTGTCTGTCCCCCCCCCCCCCAACCAATTTGCATTGTGTTTCCTTTTGCATTGAAATGCATGATGTGCAATAACACAATGGCAATGTACGGTAACTGGTGGGATTTAAATAATAAAATATGCAAATTATTCAAGGGACATAATTTTGCCACACTGGACAGAGAGATGAATGACGTGGTTTTTGGCAGAAGGTGAACTGCAGTGGAATGGAAAGAGTGTTGCATGCAATGGATACAATCTGGAACAGAAAAATATCTTCTTCCATCCCTAGCTACCCCCCACCCATCTTTTTTTAAAAAATGCTGATCTAACTTTCCAGTTTCTTTCTTGGTCCCTTGGGATATCATTAACTTTGTTCCTCTGCAGAGCTTCCTTTCACCTCCTTGCTCTTCCTTCACAGAAGATGACAGCTCTTTTTCTCAGCAGCCTCCCTGGCATTTTCTCCCCTTTAGGTAGAAATCTTTACAGCTTCAGATCTTGCCCCTGCTTGGAAGTGGGTTTCAAGCTGATCTATAGTGTGCTCTCTGTCTCCATGTACTGTGGATGTGTCTTGCCCCAAATTTCTTTGCAGGCTTTTAAGATATCCTGCTGGGATATCTCCCCCCCCCTTTCCCCTGTCTCCAGAAATCCTGGATGTTTGATAATATTCCAACAACATCTTTTCTGGGTGTCAACAATGATTCTTTCTCAAATATCAGATAGTACAGAGTAATTTGCGTGCCAAGGCCCCGTGACCCAGTCACTCGCTATGTAATGAAATAACCAGACCAGACAACAGTATAGAGTTTTGGGGTTCAAATAGGCCACAGCTTTAATGGTTACAGATATGAGGTTTAGGCATAGGCATTGGGTGAAGCCATTTATTCAACTTCATCCTGTCTGCTGGGAGTGTATCTAAGGGTAAACCACACTATGGGGGCCACTATGACCTACATCAAATAGGGGTACCCCCTGAAGGGTCCCCACTGGAGGAGTTCTATGGCCCTAGCCCCCACCGGGACATGGGACAGATGCAACACCTCACAGATCCCTTTAACAGTATACCCTTAACCAGGCACAGGCAAACTTGGCTCTCCAGATGTTTTGAGACATTTCCCATCATCCCTGACCACTGGTCCTGTTAGCTAGGGATGATGGGAGTTGTAGTCCCAAGACATCTGGAGGAGCAGGCAAAGGCTACAACCTCCCCTCTAGCCAAAGCCTAACTGCTAGTTGAGCCAGGCAAGGAAAACCGAGGGGCGGAACCAAGCAATGCTCATCAGCCGGGAAGTCCTGCCCCCTGGGGAATGCCCAGGCCTGCCTACTATTGGCCAATCCACAGGCAGGCCTCCTGTCCCCTCAGGTGGCCTTCAAATCACTGACATGAGGCTATGGCCAAGCAAAGGTCTGCACTTTAAAGTTCCAAATTTCCCCCGGATCTTTCCCCATGAATGATTTCCTGCTCTTTAAAGCTGAAGTGCAACAAACAGCAGTTTGGGTTTTCTGTGGGTTGCTGTTTGCTCTGTAAAAAGCGCATGGGTTGCACTTTTAAGCTTTATTTTATTTTATCCCCACCCCACCCACTGGAGTTTTCTTCACACAAACCTGCTCTTTACCACTAAATCGGAGCAAACAGCAATGAGTAAGCCTCATTGAACTCAACAGGGTTTTCTTCTGAGTAGACTGGTAGAAGACTGTGCCATAAGAGACTTTTCAAGGCAGCTTATCTTCATGAGGCAATGCCTGTTTGCATATAATGTCAAAAATAACACACCCGAGAATTAAAACCGAACACTAAAGCAGATAACACAGTACGTTATAAAATACAAAAAAAACAACAACCCCAAATAAGGAGTTAATAAAATAATGAGTCAAGTTTGATTGGCCTGGCCAACCTTCCCTGATATTTAAACCTGGTGCCTGAACCTCATATGTGGGGCTTCCTCTAGAAGTTGCAGCCTGTAAAGGATGTAGCAACTATATTGTTGAAAGAAAGAATGAGAGAAGGAAGATAAGAGAAAAAGAAAGGCAGATGTTCATGTGGAATCAGTTTGTTGATAGATTAGTCAACTACATGAGGTTGATGAATTGGCAGAAGCCCATTGTAATCAGTGAGAGCAACTATTAATGCAATATTCTTTATTTTGTAGTTCCAATGTATTAATGTAATATAGAATAATAATAAAAAGCACATTCATATGTTAATGCTGCCCATTCTTTCTATTCTTGGGTGGTGGAGCTTTTGTTTATTAAGTGGTGAAATATCTTACCTTGCAGTGCCTTTGGGTAATATGCAAAATGCATTTAAAGTTAATTGATTAGTCGGTGAAAAGACAGAACATTAATCAAGGGCAAACCCTTCATACGGTTGACAGCCCTAATGGCAGTAAGTAAAGGCAAATAGTTTAGGTTGGAAAAAAATGATAAGTGAGAACACTGAAAGTGATACTATATATCAGGCTGGAATTAATGGTGGATCCTGGAACTGGTCAAGTTGAAGGCCACTGTTCTAAATCAGACATTCCCCCTGATCCAATTATTCTCTGTGAACATGAGTAATCTGCTGTGCTCTGGGATGTCAAGATCTGCATAGGGGCCTCAGAAGTGCAAAAAAGAATGGCAGCCCATAAATTGTGGAACTTCCTCCACATACCACTGTGTGTGTACATCTTTTGCCATATTCTGAAGATGCAAATGTTCATTGCTCTTTGGCAAGTAAGGTACAGTGGACGCTTGGGTTGCGATCGTGATCCGTGTGACGTGTCTGCGCATGCGTGGGCTGCGATTCGGCTCTTTTGTGCATGCGCAAAGTGCAATTTAGTGCTTCTGCGCATGTGCGAGCGCCAAAACCCAGAAGTAACTTGTTCTGGTACTTCCGGGTTTGGCGCAGTGCGCAACCTGAAAATGCACAACCTGTAACCTGAGGTATGACTGTATTTTGTTTTGTGGGATCCGTCTCTCCTGTCAAATATATACTGCTCTGTTTTGGTTGGAACAGTTTCGTCTGTGTTTATGATTGCATAATATATTGTTCTAGCCAGATCCTGAACTTTATGGTGAAGGGCAGGTAAGAGATCTTATAAATCAAGTTGCTCATTTTAATAGAGAGGGGGTTATATGAAACACACATGATTTTGCTCATACCATGCCACTTCTGCCATTGAAATGAATGGAGAGGACTGCTTGTGCAAGAGGCCTGATTGTGTACATTGAAACATATGGTGAACTATGGATCAGAATACGGTGCTTAGATATAATACTGTTGGCATCTGTCTGTTTCGAAAGACAATGGAAGAATGCAACTTTGGATGTGAAATCAAACCGTCGGCGAGTTACAGCGCCTGCTGTGGCTGTAGAGAACAATACAGAATAGACTTTTTTTATTAGGCATAAAATGTGTTAACATTTATTTCATCTCCATTTATTTGTTTTTTTCCTCTCTTTTCTTTTTTCCTTCCAGCTGACAGGCGAAGTAATTTTGCAAATTGCCAACAACCCAGTACTGCCCTTTAATGCCCTGGATATTGCATTAGAAGTTCAGAAGAGCTTTAGAGGTACGGTAATTTGTTCCATGGTCCAAGGATTCTTGGTGAATGTCTTTTTTTTTATTTATCCCTTTGCTTTTTGATGGTGAGCATTTGCTTTTCATCTCTGTAAACAAACAGTATGTGCCGATTTCATTGGACCAAATTTTTGTATGCCTACCCAGCCTATGGTCTGAAGGAACTTGATTGCTGCTCAGCAGGTCTGGGTGTGATCAGTGTCTAGGTGGGTGACTGCTTGAGGAATCCCATGTAGGGTCCTTTGGCTCCAGGTTGCAAGAAAAGTGGGGTATAACATGTAAGCCAATAAAGAAGAAAGTGTGTAGGCATTTGTGTGTTATAAATTACAGCAGCACTCCCAGGGCCGAATTTAGGTTTGATGAGGCCCTAAGCTACTGAAGGTAATGGGGTCCTTTCTATGTCCAGCTGTCCTTTGTCAACATTTATTGAATATATGTGTATATATATTTGTGTTGAATATATGCTATATGCTAATTTATGGACCTAATAGGTATCTAAAGCCATTTGCACATGTTGTCATGCAAAACGTCCATGCAGAATGTAGGCACTCTATATATAGAAATGAGCAAACCAGCGATATTTTAGGGAGCAGGCTAGCAGGTGGGGCCCATTACTTACATCATAGGAGCCTACACAACACAAAACACTGTTGCTGCATGTAGGTTTTATTGCATTTGTTTTTTATCTTATATTTTGGAAATGTACATCCAGGTTTTCCCCCCTTTAATTTCTTTGGGGGCACCCCCAAGAGGGTGGGGCCCTAATCTATAGCTTGTTTAGCTTATACATAAATCTGGCACTGAGCAGTCCTATGCATCAGGATTGGCTATATTTTTTGGCCCGGGGACCACATTGAGGGTTGGCTACTTCTTCAGGAGCTATATGTCAGCAGAAGGTGAGGAGCAGACTCAGCAGCAGTCTCTCTCTCTCTCTCTCTCTCTCTCACACACACACACACACACAGAGAGAGAGAGAGAGAGAGAGAGAGAGAAATTTTAGCTTCCTGGGGCAATGCTGGTGTAGAAGAAGAGGAATATTTCTTCTTAGCCCAGCCTGGGGATCAGAAAAAAACAGAGGAATGTGAAGCCCTCTTCTTATCCTTAAAAAAGGGAAACTTCTCCTTTTTAAAGGTAGGAAGAGGTTCCCAGCATGTTAAGACCAAGCAATGACTGCATGGAAAAAGAACAAGCAGAAAATAGACATAATGAGATAAGTGAATTGTATTAAAGACCGGCATATAGCATATAAATTCATGATTCTATGAATTTGGAGCAGGAATCTTAGGAGCGCACATGGAAACAACTATGACCAAACTTGTAATAATAATAATAATAATAATAATAATAAATTATTTGTATCCCGCCCTCCCCAGCTTTAAAATAAGCAACCTACATCAAAAAAGTAACATTCAACAATCATTAGGATAGTATAAAATAATAATATCACCATATAAAAATTAAACCGAAATCCACTCAACAGTTACAATAAATATTTTCTAAACTATAAACTATATAATAATAAATGCTACACATTTACTTAGGAGTAAGTTCCAGTGAAGTTAGTGGATCTTGCATTGTGTTGAGACAACACAATAGAATTGTGTATAATTTTTAATAGAAGTTACACCAGTGACCAGTATTTAAATCACAATCAAGGATAAATACCATTTTAGGGCCAAACTGCGAGGGTGTTTCTCCCCAGCTCCTTGTAGGGCAACATCAAATGGAGAAAAGGGAAAGGGGAAAAAGCACAGAACCCCCATGGCTCTTTGGTCTGAAGACTGGCCATCTTGCTTATTTATTGCTGCAGTTCACGTTGGCAGCAGATCACTCCGGCTTGCCTCTCTCCTTGCAGCCACTAGGAAGAGGGATAATTTAATGCCGAATAAGTTGCTCGAGTTGATTTATCAGCCGGTTCTTGAAAGCTCTGTGTTAGAAATGAATGACCTTGATCTGTGTGTTTGGATGAGAGGGAGGGGGGGAAAGAAGACAGTTCCGCCTCCGGGAAGGCAAATAGAGAGACCCAGGCTCTAGGAAATATCACAGCTGGCCGTCGGCACCTACAATATGTGCAGCAGCTTTGCTCCTTCAGTGTTTGGGAGAACCAACCTTGCCCCTAGAGCAGGAATCCCAAGCATGCAACCACCCCCAGGCCTCTCTATCTGTTCCCTGGGACTCTCTCTGAGCCACACCTTCTCCCCAATACTACCAAATAATACTAACAGGCCACACCCTCTCTCCAGGCCTCCTTCACAACTTCCTGAATTGATTTTGCCTAGCTGGAATCATAGAACTGTAGGGTTGGAAGGGACCATTAGCATAATCTAGTCCACCCCCTTGTAATGCAGGAATCTTTCACCCAACATGGGGCTTGAACCCACAACCCTCAGATGAAGGGCCTTACACTCTACCAACTGAGCTATCCTTGAACTGGGACAATGCCTCTAACTTGTCTGGATGGACAATGGAAAGATGTCTGTGTGCAGGAGTAAGAGTAAAGAGCTCTGACTTGCGCATGGCTAGAATGCAGCCTGCTGTACAAAGGTAAGAGTCACAGGGTTGCAGGTTCGATCCCCGTGTGGGACAGCTGCATATTCCTGCATTGCAGGGGGTTGGACTAGATGATCCTCAGGGTGCCTTCCAACTCTATGATTCTATTATCTATTGCCCCCTTGACTCCACCCGCTATGGGCGTGTGGCCCCCAGGAGGTTCCCCAGGAAGGAAGGTGGCCCTTGGGCTCAGAAACGTTCCCCACCCCTGCCCTACGGTTTCCACCTTGAAACCTGACTAATCCAGTAGCTGCAATAAATGTATGCCTTGGGCTGCATAAATGCAAGGGCAGCGAACCCTCGTGACAACTTTACAAACCTTAGCTTTATGAGATCAGACAAAGAAGTGGACGGTGTAATGAAACTGATCTTAGAGACAGAGGAGCTGCGGGGAATTTCATTAAACAAAATTGCAAAGTTAACAGAAATGAGAAAGCTTATCTTACTAGTATTAGTGCCATGAAAATAATTCTCCTTTCCTTGAAGTGAAGTGACTGAAACTAATGAATTAACCAAAGCTAAGGAAAATGCCAGAGACATCACCTTACCAACAAAGGTCCGTGTAGTTAAAGCCATGGTTTTCCCAGTAGTGATGTATGGAAGTGAGAGCTGGACCATAAAGAAGGCTGATCGCCAAAGAATTGATGCTTTTGAATTATAGTGCTGGAGGAGACTCTTGAGAGTCCCATGGACTGCAAGAAGATCAAACCTCTCCATTCTTAAGGAAATTAGCCCTGAGTGCTCACTGGAAGGACAGATCGTGAAGCTGAGGCTCCAATACTTTGGCCACCTCATGAGAAGAGAAGACTCCTTGGAAAAGACCCTGATGTTGGGAAAGATTGAGGGCACAAGAAGAAGGGGACGACAGAGGACAAGATGGTTGGACAGCGTTCTCGAACCTACAAACATGAGTCTGACCAAACTGCGGGAGGCAATGGAAGATAGGAGTGCCTGGCGTGCTCTGGTCCATGGGGTCACGAAGAGTCAGACACGACTAAACCACTAAACAACAACAACAAGGAAAATGCCAGATTAAATCAACAAGCCCTGTTGTATACTTTAAAAAAATTACAGCTGCTTGGCAGGTACTTTTTAATGACAGCGATTTCCTGCATGGGATGTTGTGTCCCTCTATCCCAAACCCAAGACTGAATCGTGCATCTCCCTCCTCCGGTGGAATTTATGAACATGAGTTCCATGGGATATATGAAATTGCCTGATATGGGGTCAGTGAATTGCCTACACTGACTGGAAGCAGCTTTCCAGAAGTCTCAGACAGAAATTTTTCCTATCCTTTCCTTCCACCTTTCCTAGAGATGTAAGGAATTGAATGTGAGATCTTTTGCATTCAAATCATGTGCTCTACTGCTGAGCTACAACCAATCCGCAAAGGAATAGCCCCCTGTCTTCCAGCAACAGATAGGGATTCAGTTCACCTTTAAAGGCAGGTCTATCTAATCTAAACTTTCTGAAACAACATGTTAACCAATTACAGCCATCCTTCCTAATTTGCTCTATTTTGAATTTTATAGTGTGGTTCTCCAGCCAAGTAACATGTACAAAAATGTATATACTAGGTCAAAGTGGGCCTAAAATGCATTTATTGGTGAAAATTGCATCATAGTCAGAAAAACTGGTTTGAAAAAATGTGAATGTTAGGAAGAAGTCACTTACAAAAATGTGGTTATCGGGAGTTATTTGTAGGAAAATGCTGGTGGACTGTCCAAGGACTTTTTGAAATGAATTTGCAGACAGAATTGGAAATGCAGAGGACAGAATTTAATATGTGAAAAATGTGAAACTGAGAAAGACCAAAAATAGACTGATTTGCTCATCCCTACAAGCAAGTCTAGAACCAGCCACCCACCCACCTAATTTCTCAGGATGTTGGGTATTAATGTTTAAACAGTTCCTGCACCTAAATTCAACACCCAAGACAATGTTTTGTTAATTGGCTTTCATGGACGCCTTTATTTATTTATTTATTTTGCTCTGAACTTCTGAAGCATTTCAGTATTGAGGCGATTTGGTGTTGTTTTTTTTAAAGCAATGAATTCTGTGTTGAATTTGCAATGCGTATCGTATCAAACAGCAATGGCAAATGGTGTGTGGGGGACCATTAGGATGTGTGAGACAGCTTCCTCAGGTGATAGACATTTGGGGCTGCAGTACCCCACCTGCTGCAAACAGTCTCCTAAAATAGCCCTGCTCTGTGCCCCCCACAAACCCACTTACTGCCTTCCAAAATGGTGGAAGATGTTGTCCTGTCACCTCTGTGGAAGGAAGAGTCAGCTGCCACTGTTCAGATTCTGAAAATGGAATAAGGTAATAGGTAAAAGATTAAGTCCAGTCAAAGGTGACTGTGGGGTTGCGGACGCTCATCTTGCTTTCAGGCTGAGGGAGCTGGTTTTTGTCCACAGACAGCTTTCTGGGTCATGTGGCCAGCATGACTAAACTGCTCCTGGCATAGTGGGACACAGTGATGAGTGCCAGAGCTCATAGACACACCGTTTACCTTCCCGCCACAGCAGTACCTATTTATCTACTTGCACTGGTGTGCTTTTGAACTGCTAGGTTGGCAGAAGCTGGGACAGAGCAACGGGAGCTTGCCTGTTGCAGGGATTCGAACCGCCAACCTTCCGATCAGCAAGCCCAAAAAGCTCAGTGGTTTAGACCGCAGCGCTACCTGCTCCTCTTTGTAAATGGAATGGGGAGGAGAAGGTGCCATCTTGCCCTTCACCTCAGGGAACAAAATGTCTTGGGCAGGCCCTAGACATGGCACAGGACACTGCAAATATTAACCCTCTATATTAGCAATCCATTGTTAATCAATCAATTTTTAATTAACAATAATAAACAAAAACATGTATGAAAACAACCCCAAGCCCAATGCAAATACAGACTAGGATAACGATCGCGAGTAGAAAGACACTTTGGGAGAGGATGGTCTTTAATTGCTCCTGAAAAGACAACAAAGATGGCACTTATCTGATATGTATCAAAAGGTGGATGCTGCCATGCTTAGGGTTGCCATATTTCAAAAAGTGAAAATCCGGACACAACAGTTTTTTTGACCAAAGTTTTTGAGCTATTTTTAAGGAAATTCACCAAAACCTACACTTCCGATATGGGTTGCCACATCTAAGTGGTTTTCTGCCCAGATGCTGTTTCCGATGGCTGAATCCTGGCTGAATAGCCAGGAAATTCCGGGCATATGTCAGCCCTAGCCATGCTAAATGCTTGATTCCTACATAGTGCAGAATGGGCTTCCCAATGAGGTGGTACCTGTAAGAGTTCCTCTCCTGTACCACACAATGGTCAGTGGAGCATGTCAGTAGGTGAAATGATTATTCAGGTGTCCTCCTCTCAAGCTGCCTATGGCTTTGTGCAGCAGGACCAAGTCCTTGAACTTAGTCTGGCATCAAACTGGCAGCTGACCAGAATATTTATTTATTTTTAATTTCCCCTTTCCAGGATTGTCCTTCTTAAATTAATGGTTTGCATACCAGAATATCGGTCTAGTCGCTTAGCAGTCTAGCTATATGAATTGTTCTTGAGTAGTGGCTTTCAAAGACGTTAGCAAGCCTACGGCTATGTTCACCTCTGGATATAAATAGTATTATTTTAAGTGCAGTTGCGTTCCTATTATCATATCATACTGGACATGGCTGCCTTGAAGTGACAGCGACACGTGTGATTTATCCCTTGGATAAACACAGTAGTTGCAACTGGTAGGCTGTGCTATTCAGAAGTGCTTGCTAGTTTTATCTTAAACATCTTTCGACACCACTCCTAAGGAGGGAAAATTACAAATGTTATCTCACTCAAGGGGAAACAGCAACACTTTTATTATCCTGCATTTCCAATTCGTTATGCAACCCTCCCCAGCTTGAATCAGGATGAATGATCTCATCTGGTTATTTTAAGTTGTTAAATAAATACAATTGGAGGCACCAGAAAAAGGGAACTTGGGAGATGCATACCGCTGATTGCTGAATTATACGGCAGGTTTTTCATTGCACAGGCTGCATGTAACTGGATTTTATTCAAAGTCATGTTATGCCGGATGGATATTTATTCTCCAGACTTGGATTGAATGCAGTAACATTTCTCTGCGTAACCAATTGCTTTCCATAATGGGCACCAGTGGATTTTTAACGCTTGTAAATTATGCTTCTGCCCTGAAGCATTCATGTACTCAAGCTGCCTCGCTTGCTAGAGTGAAACAGGGGTAGCTACGGTATGAGTAAAATGTTTCACACTTAGTTTATCACTGGGAGGGGAAGGGGTAACTGTCCTTTAACCCAACAGTGGGCAGACGTCAGGTTCTGATTCATGTTAATTTACAAGGCGCTTAACAACTTGAGTTTAGGATACCTTAAAGACTGCCTGATTCCTTATAACCCTGCCCTGGTCTATCACTGAGGAGTCATTTGTGGTGGCATCCCAGGGCTCAGGTGCATGGCTTATAGCCACCAGGAGACAGTCCCCTCTGTGTTGAGTTTCTGGTGCTTGGCCAAGACCCTTTCATTTCAGCAGCAAGTGAGGTTCTTTCTGACTTCATGGTTAATTTTAACCAATTATCTGAATTTGGAATCTTATTGCACACTGCTTAAGGACTAGGCATTAAACAGCGTGTAAATATTTGGAACAAATAAACTGCAACCGCCCACCAGTCAGAGCCAAGTGGTTAAGTGTGACTCAGAAGTGTGTTCTACCACAAGTGAGCACATGGATCTGCCGGTCAGCCTCAGCACATTTTTACCCATAGTGTGTTTCTCTTACTGCTCTCAGATGAACATCTGAATCTTGACCGCTTGCTGACAATGGCCAACGCCCTGAGGGAGAGTGCCCAGTTGTTCCAGTCGGATGAGATGCG